ACTACTGTGACTGTCCCAGAGGCTCTGTGCATCCTTGGTATAGATTACCTCAGGAGTGGATTCTTCAAGGGCCCAAAAGAATACCACTGTGAACCCTCTTAGTATAGCTGCCTTGGAGATGGAGAACATCAGACAGCTGTTTACTTTGCCTGATCTCTTAGAGAACCCTTCCGTGTGGGGTTGCTAAGAGTAGAACTGGAAGTGCTGATCACTACCACGTGCGCTGGTGGTGCTGAGACTCCCCGATCCCCATACATAAGCTGATCCCCCTACGTAAGCTGATTTTGATCAGCAAGAGTTATTCACCTTTTAACAGTCCTGTGTGGCCTGTGTTCTACCTCTACTCATGGTAGTGTCAGGTGCCCCATTTGTTACAGCAGTTGGTAGTGCAAATGCAAACCTATTTGGGCAACAAATAGAAACACTGCATGGGTTGTAGAAGTATGTCAAGCAAATGCCCAAGTACCCGAGAGTTATACCACTGAAAAACATCAGAAAAACACCTGACTACACCACGTGGATCAGGTTGCTAAGACTCAATAATGAAATCTTAATATCGTTAATTTAGGAAAAGACTACTAAGACAGTGTAGACCAATCATCAGCCCGTCACCACCGTGCCCACTGCACTGTGTCTGTAAGTGCAACGTCTATCCTTTTCTTGAAAACCTCCAGGGATGGAATGCAGCCTGTTCCAATGCCTTACCACTTTTTCTGATATGAACTTCTTCTTAATATCCAATCTGAACCTCCCCTGGTGCAACTTAAGGCCATTACCTCTAGTCCTATCACTGTTTACCAGTGAGAAGAGGTACCTCACTACAACCTCCTTCCAGGCAGTTATCAAGGGCAACAAGGTCTCTCCTGAGCCTCCTCTTCTCCAGACTAAATAATCCCAGTTCCCTCAGCCTCTCTTTGTAAGACTTGTGCTTGAGACCCTTCAGCAGCTTTGATGCCCTTCTTTGGACGTGCTCCAAGGCCTCAATGTTTTTCTTGTATTGAGGGGCTGAAAAGTGAACACAGTTCTCCAGGTGGAGCCTCACCAGTGCCAGGTGGATCTGGACTGGCAACCTAAGAGTGAATTATTTCTATCTCAGTTAGCCCATGACGCCTCCTAGCATCAGGGCAGAGACGTATGAAGTGGCCAGCAGGGCAAGGGATGTTTATCCTCCTCAGATTCTCCTCTGCTGTACGACATCCAGGTTTGGAGGCCCAACACAAGAAGGCTGTTGGAGCAAGTTCAGAGGAGGGCCACGAGATGAACAAGGGAGAACGTTTTTACAGTAGATGAGGGGTGATGTAGATTAGATGTTCGGAGGGAATTCTTCACGATGAGGTCAGTGAGGTGCTGGCTCAGCTGCCCTGACAAGCTGTGGATGTTCCATCTCTGGAGGTGTTCAAGGCCAGGTTGGATGGGGCTCTGGGCAGCCTGAGCTGGTGGGCGACAGCCCTGCCCATGGCAGAGTGGCTAGAACTAGATTATCTAACTTTTTGTGATCGTATGTCTCATGTTTCTCTTGTTAGTGTGGTGTAGCCGTGACTAGTATGGACTCTGCCCTGTGTGCCTTGTGTCTCTTTGCTCCTGGCCATCTTTCTGCTGTGAAGCTGCTCGCTGACATACATCAATCTACACTCTCTTACAATTGCCATGTATGGCACATGTACGCCAAAGGCCTCTTCCGGAAACACTACATCACAAAGATTCTTAATGTCAACAAAAAAGTTCTTTCAACTTGAATCATGTAATCTATTATCATCTTTCCAGCCACCTAAAGGCTCTCAACGTGCAGGTGCCTATCACAATTTCTTTAAGGTGGTTGTTTTCTTAATGAAAACCAAAAATAGAATTTGTGAGCTCTCAAATATGCGTTTTGTGATGGGGGAGGAATTGTAATGAACTACATAGCTTGTGTCTGTTTTTCACCTTTTTTATGTATTCCAACAAGTTATATGTGTGTTTTAATTCAATGCTTATATTCTTTAAGTGTTTTGTAGGTCTCACCTGGGGAAAGGACTGAGACAAAATAGAATCATAGAGTGGTTTGTGTTGGAAGGGACCATCTACTTCCAGATCCCGTGGTGTAGGCAGGCACACCTCCCTCTAGAGCAGATTGCTTAAAGTCCCATTTAGCCTGGCCTTGAGTGCTTCGTGGAAGTGGGCATCCACAACCTCACTGGGCAACCTATTCCAGTGTCTCACCACTTTCACAGTAAAGAATTTTGTCATGATATCTAGCATATTCAACTTTGTAGGGTTGTTTAATTTTTATTTTTATTTTAATTTGAAGAAGGGCTTCTTTGCCTGAAATTTCATTTATACGTTCTCCAATAATATGAAGTAGCCTACTAAAAGTTAATGCTCCTAGCTAATATCTATCCCTGTGTTCAGACTGTGAGAATTTTTGTCAGATTTTCACATACAATTCATGAATAAATACCCAAGACACCATAAAAATTGATGTCCCCAGTTTGTGGTGTGATAGCATCTCAGCTACAGGCAACTTTCTTAGAAAACATGTTCAGTCTGTGGTGATGAGTGAAATATAAATATCAAGATTATATTCTGGAATTAAATTTACAGTAAAGAATGGGGCTGGATTAAGGAAGAAGATCACAAGGAAAGACAATTACCCTTATTGGGAATTGGCACTTTTATCACAGAGAGTGTTTAAAAGATAAATTTTTCAAGGTAAGCACTCAAATTAGGATAAAAGAGTAAAAAAAAAAAAAGTATCTAAAATGAATTATACTAGGAAACAGAATACAGTATCTAACTATAGCGATCTTAATGTGTTATTTTGCCTTCTAGACTGAAAAAGAAAAAATATTTCACTTTGACCAATCCCAAAATAGTCCATCATTGTACTTGAAAGTCTTGCCACATGAGTGCACTGTGGCATTATAATCATGTCCTACTTTCAGTTAGACTTGGAACCCCATTGCCAGCAAAAGCAAACGGACTGTAGAAGACATAACAAAAAAGAGTTGTGTTTTGCCACATCAGGTATTACCTGTGTGAGCTATCACTCACCTATCAGAAGAATCATAGTTAAGAATAAATGTATAAGCATAATTGCTGAATTTAGTGCTTGAAGCAAATATACACTAGTTTGTTTCCAAAAATAAAATAAAAATTAGATGTGCAAGTTTTGTAAAATGCCATTGTACAGATTTGTATTATTTTAACAATTAAAAAGAAATGGAAAATGTGAGTCTGCATGATCTCCTCTGAAAGACAGAATGTTACACGGAATGAACTCATCCTTAAGGAATCAAAAGAAAATGGCAGGAAATTTTTCTGTTATCCACAACACGTGAAGTTTTAGGGGAAAGTTCAAATATCACATGGATAAAGGTTTACCATACGGGAGAAATGTGAGTTATGCTTTGGGAGGAATATTCTTCTAGTTAAACAAACAAGCAAATGAAAACAAACAAAATAAAATATTTGAAAACAAACAAATAAACAAACACTGTAAACTGTGGTTGCAGTTCACAAAGGATAGAGGATAAAAGGCACCTATCAGACATGACCAGTATTCCCTGCCTCTGACTTCTGGGTAAAGTGAAACCTAGCAGGACAAATTCAGGGATCTGAATAGAATATTTTAGGCTGAGTATGAAAGCATCCACAATTTCTATAGACGTGAGATTTTCACATAAGGCAATAAAATGCAGGAGCCTGCTTATTTCTTTCATAAACCATGAAATGGAAATGGAAAGGCTGGTGTGAAAAACAGCCAAATGCAGGGAGTCCAGCAGTGGCAAGACAATCCTGGTTAGGCAAAAGCTTGCAGGAATAAGGAGATAAACAGTTTCAACAGAGTCTCTAAGGCCACAGTGCCAGAGTTTTGCTTCATTAACCTTGAAATTAGTATTAAAATTTAACTCTGAGAATTACAATGAGCTTTAAGAACATGCTAAGCATACATGCCTGTTGTACTCAGCTCTCCACTCAAATCATGTTAAACGTCACCCCGGGGAGGGAAACAGATAAGGTTTGGCATAGAAGGGAAGGTATCTAGGGAAACAGAGTGAAGAAGAGAAGGGGAAGAGAAAAGAAAAGAGACTGGAGAGAAATAAGTGATGGGAAGCTGCACTGCTCTTACTCCATCAAGATAAGGACATCTTGGTAAGCACTGTGCATCGGCTCTTTGTAAAGAATAACTGGGATAGCGTGTATTTTTTGCTAGCACTTACTATACATCGGTGCTGTTGCAGCTTGTGCTTTTATCAGGGGCTGACCCAAGCCTGCTGTGTCTGTCTCTTCTACAAATCATCTGTTCCTTTGAAATATCAGTTAATTTGTCCACTGAAAGTTCTGGCAGTCAGGGTCAAAACTAGATTTGTAGTGCACCAAGGCATCCATTGACTATGTCAGTGTATAACCTTTTCAGAAATCAAGGCACTTTCTCAACTTGACTTGGGCGTTATTACAAAGTATTTATGTTATGTCCTGGCTTGACACTGCCTTTACATTTGACTTCAGACTGGAGTCAGTGTTATTAAGCCAGAAATGAATATCCAGTGGCTACTAATGTTATAGAATATGTTAAATTACAAGACACATAAATAAGTTTTAACTCCATAATTTACCTTCTGCCATTGTTTTTCTTTTAGAACAGAATTATATATGCATCCCCAAAGATCTATACATAATTCTCAGAATATGTGTAAAATAGTTCACCAAAAACTACTCCGAACATAATGTTCACATTCTTTTTCAAGCTCCAGCTGTTGTCTATCCCAATGTGTTAACGAACAATAGCCTTCTTATGAAGAAGACAGTACCTGTTCCATAACAGTCAAAGAATCGTCTAAGTTGGCTGAATTATAATGTGTGTATAAACCACTGGGAGATTTTGCTGCAGGTCTGAAGCTACCTGTGTCAAGGTGTGAGATGAAGAAAAAAGGGTGATTTCTACTGTAACAGTACAGAAGGAGGCTAGGGAGAAGAGCAAAAGCACTGGAAAACACTGCCAAAATTCTGTTCCCTTGAGGATCTGCCGTCCAAGGTTTCATTTTTGTCAGCTGTGCAATAATTCTCGGGGAGCGGTCTCTGGCAGGTGAGAACAGTCAATTTCTTTGAAATGTTCCAGATGCATTCTGGTGATATTTTTCACCCTCTCACACATTATAGTGCCATTAGGGATCTTCCTCCCATTAGGGACACAGTGTTGCTTCCTGCTGTGAATACCATCTCACTGCAAGTTAGTTACATAAACTAACAGAGAAAGTATCCTATTTTAAGCTGTAGAGGTACTCTCTTTTTCTGAGTTCTAGAACGTGTAAACTGCTTGGCACCCAAATTTTTGCAGCATAAATGGCTGAAAAATTGCAGGTATCCATTAAATGTCTTCTTTAGCAATAAGAGATGAAGCAGAAGTAAAATTTTACTGTGTTTCCAAAACTGGAAGCTGCAGGAGGCAGCTCAGAGGGAACCAATGCGACTTTCTGCATAGCCATTCTGCATCAACAGAGACCATCCTACAGGGAAAGCAAGCTGGGACTTGGGAATGATGATGCTGGAGGTGAGCAAATGAGTGAGCATGTCAGATAATCACATAGTGTAGAAACCCTAATCTCTTGAGTTCTAACATCAAATCCAGTCTTTATATTCGCTGTAGGTTATCATTTATTGTTGCAACTTGCCAGCTGGTATATACAAATTGAGTAATTAACTCCTCAGTCAAAGAGAAAGGATAACAGGTGAGATCAGGCTGCAGTTTTTCACTCAGTTATGCGTTTCAGAATCTCCCTCCCAGCTATCCAGCTACTGATCTTCACAAAATGTTCATGAATGTGTATTTTTTCAGCTAAGGTTGCCTCTTCTTCCATGTCCTCAGCAGACTTGGTCAAAATAATCCAGCATGTTCAAAAGTGACTAGAGAGGCTGGAAGAACAGGGAGCGCAGTTACTTCAGCCTCAGTTCTTTAGGAAATAAAACTAACAGGGACTTAGATATCTCCAGCTTTGAATATTTCATCAATAGCTGCCCAACAAGATAAAGGCAGCCACTAGACTGTTTCACAAACTTATCATTTATTTATGCTGAAATTTCAGTATTATATTGAAAAGCTGAGATTTCATTGTCCCAGTATTTTAGGAATGGCAGTCGTTTCCCCTTTTTCCCTTTTTCATTGCAGAAGAGTGGAGAAAAAAAGTACAATGGCAAAGAGAGATTAAAAGTGAGGATAGATCTGGACATTGAAAGTATACAAAAAGCTAATATTCAGATGACTAAAACATTTCCCGTTCAGTTCCTTTGTAATCACTAGCTGTAAAGACCATGTTCTACAGAATCTGAGAAGACGTATGATGTCTGGGCCATGACCTGCATTTTTAGACAATCTGTCTCTAATCTGTTCTTGACAACCTGCTCAATTCCAGCAAGTAGCTTTCCAGATGAGGGGCCCCCAGCTGGGAGAGTGATCTCATCCAAGCTCAAGAGAGATTCAACAATAAAGAGGAAATCAGGCAAAAAAGCCATAAGGTCTGCTTGAATTAATTAGAAATTCCTGTACAAACTCGAACACAAAAATGAAGCACACTGAGGGTGGAAACAAGGATGAATAACCTGCAAAGAACACAGAGACTATTCAAATATTCAGTGATGATGCTAGGAAAGCTGAAGTTCTAAAAGAGTTACATCTGAACAGAGATGTCAAGGCAGCAGGAAAGACTTCGATGAAAAAGGGAGAATATGGGCTGAATGAGATGGGGACCTAGTTGCATAGATGGAGAAAACACCAAAGTACTGAATGCTTTCTTTGCCTCAGTCTGCCAGCAACACTGACCTCCAAGAACTCTGGTCTTGGAGACAGATGAAAAGGCTGGAACGAGGATATTATACTCTTTGTGAAAAGTGGTCAGGCAGGAAATGCTTACATAAACATACTTGCAGGCCATGCAACCACAAGGGCTAAGAGAGCCAGGAGATGTCATTGTGAGGCCACTCTTTATCATCTTTCATTGACTGTGGCAACTGAGAAAAGTGTCCAAAGTCTGAAGCAGAACAGATGCCACTCCTAACTTCAAGAAAGGCAAGAAGAAGGATCTGAGGAATAAAAGGCTAGTCAGAATCAATTTGAGCCTCGGAAATATGATCCTGGAAACCATTTTCAAGCATATGAAGGAGAAAAATATCATTAGTAATAGTGAATGAGCAAGCCCAGAAGGTTGTGATCAGCAGAATGAAGGTGATTTTGTCTCTGTGAACCCATACTGACTACTCCCAGTCATCACTTTGTCCTTCACATAGTTGAGAAATGCTTTCTAATATGATTTGCTGCATTGCCTTCGCTGGGATCAAGGTGAAGCTGACCGGCCTTTACTTCAGAGGATCTAGCATTGTTTCCTCTTGGAGACAGGAGTGGCATTTGCTCTCTTCCAGTCCTTGCAAACTTCTCCCAAATTTCCATGAGTTTTCAGAGAAAGGTTGGCCTCACAGTGATGCCTGTGAGTTCCCTCAGCACTTGTGCATGCTTCTGTTAACTCCCACAGCGCTTGTTTCCATCCTTTTGTTTTCAAAGTTCCTCAGCAGAATTCTTCTGAACCACGTGTCCACGTTGCCTCTTACTGAAAATCCTCATTGAAATCAAGAGAACTAAGTAAACAAGAAAGGACCACTTCTTTATGATAAAAATTGGCCACCCTTTCTATAACTTTTAATAAGAACATGTGAACTTTTGTAAAGTCTCCTTACACTGTGTTACTCCCAATATCCTTAGGAACAGAATGGCTAACACCAAAGTTAAAATGCCTCTTTTTTGCTTTTATGAAGGAGAACCTGTTGAGGTCCTGGAAGATATCCTGATAGCCTCCAGGCCTTCTGTATGCAATGAAAAGGTGTGTGCTGTGTATTTCAGTGTACTGCAATGCAATGGAGCACTTTTGCTCAGCTCCATCTGCATACCTGTGTAGTCCCTAGAGAGCAAACAGAGTGTAATGTTTGTGATCTCAGATTCAAGAGACAACACCCTTCTATAATTCCTGAAAGCACCAAAACTGATGTAACCCATAATGAGTAACATCCGGTGTAAGAGTTCTAGAGTTCGAGAAACATCAAATAGCAAAACGGAACTTGAGAAAAAAATCTACCATTTATACAGCTGTTTTTCACTTTTGTGAGTGTGTTTTAAAGAACAGCAGTTGTCAACTCAGGCATTGCTAAGTGAATAGTCTTCTGTTGTATAGAGAAACACATGGTGGTTTAAGTATGTGATGTTCTGCACTGTAGAAATCTTCACTGTAGAATTATTTAAGGACAGTTTGGAAGTACTGGGAGTAATAGATAGTAGGCAACAGACTCAATTCAGTCCTATATATGTCTTTGGCATGCCATAAAAACAGGATATGAATTAAGATAAAGTTGACTGTTACATTCTAATATTGAAATATACTTATCATATTAAAAAAAAAGCCTACAGTTTCCAGGAAAAAAAAAAAAAAAAAAAGAAGTTTTGTCAGATTGCTGTGTCAGTTTGTTTCAATAAGCAGCTAGATATATTGAATTTGCTATCTTCATGACTGGGGAGAAAAGAACTCAGTGTGAAGTAAAACTGGAAGGTCTGATACAAATATTAATTTACATTCTGGTATAATGAAAACATAATCTATATTCTCTAATGAGCCACTGGGTTTTGGAACAGAAATTCTTTCTTGAAATCTAGAGCTAATTTTGAATTTTTAACCTATTATCTTCAAAATCTGAAATTCCTATGTTTCACATCTGTTTGAACATTTTTAGTCCTCTTCATTGGAAAACATAGTATGGGCTTTCTTTAGAACAGTGCTTTTTGCCATCAAATTTTCTCCAGTGTAAATCTGGCAATACACAGACTTTGAAATAAATGTTTGTTTCTTGTACGGTCCATTGCCCATGCTTTAATTTAACTGCTGTTTAAGAGACTTTGAATTATTTCTCCTGCAAATTCTTTGCAAATTTACTGGCTGATAAAATGTATTTGCTGATATTTTATCCTCGATAATCAAGCAACAGCATATTATACCAGAAACACTTTTTTTTGTTATTACTGAAAATATTGGCTTTCTGTAGACTATTGTCTTTTTACACTAAGAAAGTATTTAAGTATCATTCTGTTGTTGTCTGTGTTATTTTTCATCCTAAAACTTCCTGTATCTCATTAACGTAGTTAAGTTTTAGCTTGTGTGTTGTTTTCACTGCTCTGTCATCCATAGAACATTAAGCATCACCTGGTATAATAACAAGGATGATAATGAAAAGTTTAAGCGGGTTTGTACGAGCACTTTTGTTAAAAGACTTTACAAAACAAATAATTTAGAAACTGATAATGACACTGAGACTCAATGTGTAGTAATTTCATTGATGTTCTTTTCTAAATATAAATGTTTTCTAAAGGCTATTCCCCTGAAAGACGATTTGACGCAAGACATTCATTTGAATTTGAAAATATATCCTGTGGTGGTCTGAAGCTGTTGTTGTGACAGTAAGGATACAGCAAGCATCCTGAGTTCACGTAAATGAAGATTTATTAGTGATTCTAATGATGAAGCTATATCTGGAGGAAAATAAGAGAACATAGAAGAAGAGGGAGAGAGAGGGCAGAACAAAAAGGAAAGTGAGAGATATGGGCACCACGGAGGAGAGAGAAAGGTGGAGGAAGGGAGAGACACATAGGAAAGAAATGACGCTGGGGCTTCCTGGATAAGTGCCCTACCCTGGGCACTCTTTCCAGTAGAATGGGTGGTCGCCCTCACAGTACTTCTCCCACAGTAACTCAGTATTTTTCATCAGGACATGCACAAATCCCCCATTGATCGCTCCTGCTTATGATGCTGTAACCGCTGGTGGAATAAAATGTTGATTGGGGAAGGTGCTGCATGGCAGGTTCAATGCTGCACTTTCTGCAAGAGTTGTTGATGCCAAAACGGGAGCTGCAACCAAGTGGTAGGAAAAGGGAGGGGAGGAATGGATGATTCCAGAGACAGTTGCTTCCTATAGCCCAACGTAGCCATGTCCGTAGTTGCAAGGCCAAGATTATTAAAAACAGCATGAGAACAACACCCGAAAAACATTGCTGCA